CAAGCAGTAGCATACGTGAATGCAATATCCTACCTTCACACCCCACAGTCAGCACCACCATCCTCTCCTCCCATAATAGATTCACCACCACTATACGGTGGACCCTTATGAGTATAAAACAATGAAACCATTGTTTCTGTCATGCCTCCCACGATTCCCGAGCATCACTGACAACTCTATGAAACCTTTGAAGAAGAGGAAGACCCTATCGAACAAACAAGAGGATCTCTCATTGAGGATGAATGAGATGTTAGATCTACTGCAAAAGAGTTAACCTCCTCTTTCCGAAGCAAAATGAAAGCAGGATATCACCATGACCCGATCTACTTCAAAGCTATAGATAGCTCCAGACATGGAGATCTCGCCCCCAACAATATATCCAATAGAATGGTATATACTAGTACCTGTTATGGTGAACATTGCCTATACATCCCGAAAGGCCATATGTTAATGGAATGACTATTAGGGAATATGTCATTACCAAAATTCACAACAAAGGACACCATAGTGCGGACCGCAACCTCCAATATGTCTCAGAATATATTTACTGGCCTGAAATGCGAAAGGACTGCCGCAATTTCGTCAAACAATGTGAACTCTGTCAGGCAAATAAGGAACGAACACAACTACCTGAAGGGAAAGCACAGAACCTCCAATTACCATGTGAAATATTCGAATCCTATGCTATCGATTTCGCAGGACCATTCAACAAGTCCATTGGATATGACACTATCTTGGTAGCAGTTGATCAGTTTACTGGATACACATGGTTGATACTAATGAAGGTTACTGATTCCTCCAATGACACCTGGAATAATCTCCAGAGATACCTATTCACCCCCATGGATACCTATTATCTATTGTCAGTGATGCTGATCCCCGTTTTACCACCAGATTCTGGAAGCAAACCTTGACCTCCCACGGAATCAACCATATTATGGCTACTCCTGGATATTATGCGACTAATGGCCAAGCAGAACGAAAGATCTACGAAGTCAAGACCGGAATTAGGAACATGATCAATGAATGACAAACCAACTGGGAACCAGCCCTCATTGAGCTCGCCACATATATTAATGCCGGATTTTCAGATACCTTGGGAATGTCTCCATACAAGGCAATCTTCAGCCACCAATACCCCCTCCTACCTACAACTCTAATTAAGAACTCCTCAGTCCCTGCCTCCGATGACCACCTAAACCGCCACCAAGCAATTCGGAATGATGCCTTCCAAGCTGTTAAAGCTGTCCAATTCCAAAGCACCACTACTTCTCAGAAGCGACGACCCAAACATGTCCCTATTCCACCAGGTAATATGTTCATGGTACATGGAAACATGTTTATTACCAATGTTGGACGCAGCAAGAAATTACAACCCCAATGGCGAGGACCTTTTAAGGTCTTGTCCTTTGACGAGCATATAGAAAACTACACTGTCTAGATGGATGGACGCATGTACCGCCACAATACGGCAGTCTTCTATGCCTCTGCTGTCAAGCTATTCCATCCAAATAACAACTCCAAGTTCTCTGAAAGAATCCACTCTCAACCTGCACCTATCATCATTGCTAAGAAAGATGAATGGGAAGTTGAAGAAATCCGAGACCATCGCCTATGGCATGAGAATGATCAGTCCCTGGTCAAATGGAAAGGATACCCAACGAGCGAAAACAGCTGAAAACTGCTAGAAGGACTAGAGCATGCTATGGATATGGTAAATGACTGGTAGAAAGACAACATGCCAAATAAATCCCTCCCCCCAACAATCAATTACATCACAATGTGCTGGACACCTATGATGCCAGAGACTGAGCGATGGCATGTGGAACTCGAATCAAGGGATGGTTTTTGGGCACCGTAATTTGAGTCGGAATTCAAAAGCAGTGATGAGGAAAACCAGGCCATGGAACAGGCTCTTGATAATCTTATCTGACCACCGTCCTTCATCCAAATACCATAACGATGTCAAACTATGTGGAAGTCAATGTGAGGCTGTGACAACAGATTGTTGGACTGTTGTTGAACCGCGATGTTATCCAACTTGAAGACTATTTCGCCATCCTCTGGATAGACTACTGTCCCGATTGCAATAAAGCTTAGGTAGATGTGCAGCATGAATCTGGTATTCGTTACTACTGTGATCTGAATTTCTTTGAGTCTAAATGTTTTCTTAGGATTTCTTCTTGTCCCTGGTGTGACACTTATGATGAAGAGCTGATAGCGGAAACTGAAGCTTTTAGTTTCTCGGACTCTGCTTTTGATGATTATTAGGTTTTATTTGTTTAAACAGTTGTTTTGTTTTGGGTAATGTAACCGGTATGAGTACTCGGTTATTAGTTTTGTTTTATGTTTTGTTTTAAGTATCGCTTTGACACTTGGTTTGTTTTAAGTATCGTTTGATACTTAGTTTTGTTTTATGTATTGTTTTAAGTATCGCTTTGATACTTGGTTTGTTTTAAGTATCGTTTAATACTTAGTTTTGTTTTATGTTTTGTTTTAAGTATCCTTTGATACTTAGTTTGTTTTAAGTATTATTTGATACTTAGTTTTGTTTTATGTATTGTTTTAAGTATCGTTTTGATACTTAATTAGTTTTACCAAAGTGTATCAATTGATACCTTTGATTAGTTTTGTTCATGCTAGACATGAACAGATTTGTGTATTTAAACACCGCCTGTTTCTACGATAGAAAAGGCAGACTTCGACAGACAGTATTTCAATATACTTGGTTGAACGGTTACTTCTTTGTTCCTCAGTACACCCTTGAAGCCTCCTTTAGTTCTCAGCTCTTGCCTCCTCTCTGGAAGAGCAGGCCACCTGCCAACTATCGTATCTATTACCAATAATGTGACTAGCACCTAGCGAACACATTACATCTACACTCCTCCTGCAATTTCTTGTTTTCCAACCTAGCATGCCATGATGCATTATCAGCAGCCATATAAATGGTTTCTGGAGCTCTGTTTCTGCCTTCTATGAAAGGGATAAGATATGGCTGCTGTATCTCAATTGTATACTGGTGTGCATTGAGGCCAAGTCTATCTCTTTTACTAGTCCTTTCCTCTTCAGTCCTCTTCCTCACAAGAATTAACTCAGTCTTTCCTCCATGCATAATTGTAGTATAGATACCAATGTTGGTATGTCCTAACTTAAAGCTGGGCTTTAAGTTTTTTTCTTCCAACTCTTCACCCAGTCTAAGTCTGATCTTTTTACCCACTAGATTTGGGTCATATTCAATTGTAGCTTCATCAACAAAGACAACCCATTTCCAAGCTCTTGTCCAGTTCCTCCTAACTCTTGTAAACTCCCTCCTCTTCTCTTTCTGTCCTTTCCTCCAAAATGGCTTTTTTCTAGGTATCTTGAGCTTAATACCAACCTCTCCAGAGATCTTGTTTCTAGTATCTTTTCCTAAACCCACATTAGCCTTTTGGGTAATATCCCTTAGGGCTAAATGAGGCTCAGTATCTATAATATCAAGAATTACCTGCCTTTTGGCATCAGTAATTTTAGTTGGTCTGCCAGCTCTGAGAGCATCATGGGTGTTGTCATCATAAATTTTGGCTCTTTTTATCACTAATGAAACAGTTGACTTAGGAACCTTCATCAACTTAGAAATTTTATCATACCCCATATCAGTGTGTTTATACAGGGCATAAATTTCTCGGTTTTTGTCTTCGCGAGCTCTTCAGGTATGTGGTAGGGCCATGGTTGTGTGGGAATGTTAAGTCGATAGGGCAAAAAGCGGTTGCATGGCAACCATATGAGGACTTATTAGACATGGCTGTACTGTTTAATCCTACAGCCTACAACAATGAGCAGCTCTTTTGCCCTACATCAGTAACTTATTCCTCTATTTTAAGACTGACATTTTTTCTTTACAATTAATATAGTAGAATTTCATAAGACATCTACTGTTTTATAAAAGCTCAGCTTATAGAATATCACTACCTCATTGATCCTAGATGGTTATAATAGCCTAGTTTAACTTGGGAATATTTCTGTCAACAGTCCACTGACATTTAAAGATATGATCCAAGTCTGTCATTTTACAGGACCAGAAATCATTTCACAGGAATGAAATTAGCTCAAAAATTAGATTGTTAGTAATTAGAAGATTTCAAATACCTGCTATGTTGAAAAGGCCTGTGCACACTTCACTGAAAGTGATGCAGGAAAAATCATTATTCAGAACTTGTTCTAAAATGTGGATCTTACACTAATTAATGGCTCACTTGATTCCGTATTAAGAATCAAAGAATTTGCAGTTAATGAGATAGAGATTAGAGTTTGACGCCTGCAAGAGGAGGAAGAAGCTGCTGTAAGTATTCATAATGCTGCAGGTCAAGAGCTGCCAGTAGATAAGCATAACAACGATAATAGTATGGTAGAATTTGTTTAAGGTGGAGAAGACATATAGAAATGAGTACTTTATGCCTCTGCACTTAGTCAAATCTCAGTGATCAGGCTGAAGCGGAACCACATTTGCCTCATATTTAGAGTACCTTTTCACAATGTCCCCCAGATCAATTCGTTGCTGTGAAACATAAAATTTTATGTTTCAGCCCATCATCCCACATATGCTTGGCTGCATATGCACGCATACCCCAGCCCTCTCATACCGAATTTTTCGAGTTTTTACGGTACACATCTAACAAGACGAGGGTGGGGAAGGCGATTGACCGGGGAGCTGCATCTTTCTGCACAGGGATTTTCAATGATACTAGTTCAATAATACTAGTTCAATGAGAGCTTCCACGTTATTTGGCCTCTACACTCGGACATCCCGTTACCTCTTGAATGTCCAGTCGGAGTCACCGACAAATTACCACTTTCCCCGCCAGATGTATACGAGGCTGTTCCGAGGAGATCTTTCTAAGATATCTCGCGATTTTTCAGTATAAAAGGGAGGTAGAAACCCGCCTTCGAAAGACCACCCTTAACCAGTCCTCTATCCTACGAACTCTTATCTACATCCCATAACCTTTGCTTGTTTATTCAAAATGGTCAAGATTGCTGCCATACTTCTCCTCATGGGCGTTCTCGCCAACGCTGCTGCCCTTCCCGTCAGCGAGCCTGCTGCCGCCCCCATCAGCGAGCCTGCTGCCCTCGTCAAGCGCGGAAACGCTGCGACTATTGCTGCGGAATCCAGTGATATCCCCGACTTCAGCGTTCAACTTACTCACCCCACTGGCGAGGGAGACCGCGGGAATGTCACCGACCAAACCGATTTATCCAGGGATATCATCCCGGAGACTCAGGCTGCCAGCTTTGCCGCTGATGCCGACCAGGCAGCCTCTTCACCACGTTCCGTCACTGACAGGCTTCTCTACTCGACCACCATGGGCGCCTTCTTGACTGCTAAGCGCAACAGGAATCCTCGTAACCTGGACTGGACCGACGATGGATGCAGCAATTCCCCCGACAAGCCTGCAGGATTTAACTTCCTAGACTCGTAGGTCCTTCCCCATCAATGATATCCGCGTGTACTAATCTTTGGACAGATGCAAGCGCCACGACTTCGGATACCGTAATTACAAGAAGCAGCGCCGTTTCACCGAAGGCAACCGCAAGCGCGTGGACAATAATTTCAAGAAAGACTTATACAAGGAGTGCAGCAAGCACTTCGGCCCCATAGGCAGCGCCTGCCGCAGAATCGCCGATACCTACTACACTGCTGTCCGTAGATTCGGCGGATTGTAAACCTGAGGGACACAAAGCGGAAGTGATGAAGAGAGAGGATGGCTATAGGGTTGAGAGGCGGATTTCATTACACTCTGCGATAGCTACCACTTATGAGCTGTGCTCCTGAAGTTTGATTTCATTTCTGTATCTTTTCTTACAATATTTGTACCACAATTATTATGCCTAGGTATTATCCTCAACTATGCTTCATGCGACCAGACTTGGAAACCCTAATTTGTTGCGTTACTCCCCCGGGTAAAAAGGTATCCAATAGTTAACGTTCCATTCGCCCATCTCACCTATCACATCTTTAGTGCTGGGTATGATACAAGTACCTAGAATGCTCCACCTCGTTCTCCTTCCCAATTACCCTTAATATGAATAATAGGACATGACCCCACCATCTTCACGACAGCAGGAACTGGCTGTAATATCATGAAGCAAATCAAGATCTCCAATTCCACTATCTGTGTTAGCCCTTATCGGATTTAATTATTGCCGATCCCTAGCACGAGATCCAGCTGGTGTCACCCCAGGCATGAAGCTTAACCTCTAACAGCGGAAAATTAATTAAGACATTACAAGGATACTATTGTTCGCGCCAACACACTGCCATCTCGGCCTACCGGCACCCTGCATGTCCAGTACGAGTGCTGGTACAGCCTGCAGTAAAAAAAAAAGGGGGGTTAAAAAACGTGGCAAGGGCCCAGGAGCTCCGATTGGAGCGCTGGTGTTCGAGCCAATCAGAACTCCAGAACCCCTTGCAGTCCCTTCCGATTTTATTTTTATTTTAACCTCAGGTTGTACTGGTACTCGTATGTGGGGAAGGTATACAGTACGAGTACTTTGGAGCACTAGTACATCCAAAATCGTAGATGTAGTTAAGAGGGCGCGTCTAGATGATTGAAGCCCCAATTTCTAGCCTATCCATTCCGCATGACAATAAAAATAAGAATACGAGGTCGACCCCCCTCCATCAATTCAAGAGGTCTTGGCGCTTTAACTCGCCTTTTTTCCGGTCATTTGATCCAATGAGTGGGTTCGGGTAGTGGAATGTAGAAGGGTTTCCTGGGGTGACTCTCCTTGCGAGATTTCCAACAGGGATCCCGGTGGAGCAGAGCATAGTACAGGCGTTTCGATCGCTTTATTATTCCTGCAACTTTCTAGCGTTTTCTCCTATAATACGAGTAGATATATATATCCCGGGTTCTGTCCTTCCACTCAGGATCGCACCTTATTGCAAGGCAGAAATCTCCCCCCCCCCCTCACAAGGCGTGATAGGGACAACCCGCCGGGCAGTGAGGGCCAATGAGGGAGTATCCGGTTGGGGAGCTGATAAGCCGATTTTCTGTTTTCCGCCCTTTTTCGATCGATTGTACGGTACTGTGGGGGCAGTATAACGGTAAAACAAACGCCAAATATTATTGAATGACCTCATTCACCAGTAGTTTAAAACCTTCATAGCTCAAAGAATTAGACCAAACCAAATCCTCTAGCAAGCCACCAAATGACTTGTGGCCTATAGTCGATGTAGGTGTGGCATTGGTGGAACGATTTGATGTGTTTCCCAGCTGCGTCCGTGGTTACCTAAAGAGAAATACATACATTCCAAGCTTTGCTTGCACAACCCTATACACAATCCCAACGCCTGCGAGGATAGCCGCTTGTATACATATGATACACTGCCGACAGGCGACAGGTAAAGATAAGGGAGAGGTTACAGTCAGGAGTCCTATTCCAAATTGCTGGACAGCTTTCAACATATGATAGCATATTTGAGTCGGTCAAGCGGTGTATTCCAGTTGCAAGCACGTGCAGCGGATAATCGCACTAACAAACCGGGTTCATTCCTTATTACCGATCGTTGTCTCGGCACTCTCCGCGACAATCTTTGCTTATTCAATACCACCTCAAAAGAAGACCTGACTTCTACCACGCTCACTCTTCGAATCTCGCAGGTCCCTTGAGTTGCCTCCACCACACCCGAGAGCAAAATAACGCAGTGGATTGCGCACGGTAGAAGACTACCCAAACCTACGAAATTTATTCGAGTAGCAGCAGCATGAGATATTTGAGAGTGGTGTAGACTATAATCCAAATGCTGCTTCCATAAAATTTGCCTTACGATGCAGCTTCTAGATCACTATCACATCCAAAAATCTGTCCGTGCCGAAACTCTCATCAAGTCCAGCAGCTTGCCTGAGAAGAACTTGTTCCAAGCATGCTCAACCAAGGCATCGTAGAGTCCCTTATCCCGATTGCCTTGCCAAGGCTCTGGCTGGGATTATGTAATACGCGAATTGATCCTGCAGTAAGCCTACAGTACCGCTACGGCATGCGGAGCCTTTACTTGTTTTGGCATTTCAATGTCAGATTTTGATGTTGAGACTACATCGTGACCTCTCAGCTTCCCTAGTTTTCACGCGGGGGCACTGAGATTCTTAAAAAAACTACTCAAAGTTTTTTAGATAATTTTTTGGATAATTTCTTCCTCATTTGAAGAGCCTTTCTTTTAATGCCCCCTTGCTATCACCCGTTCTGGTGCACTCGTATCTCTATGCCAAGGATTAGTACCTCCCCCGGAATAGCCCCCGTATGCCGATGAAAAGTACGATACCACCCCCGCTACATTTTCCTGAGCATCCTAATATGGCATAGCAACTATCCCACAATCTACCCTGCCCGGCTAACCCAATTTTTCAGAAACAAATTGTACTAAAGGTTTACTTACAGTGCCCCTAGAGGCATGTCCAAAGGACGTTGGCTGAAAGGCTCTTGTTTCGTTGTTGATAGGCGTAGTTCTCGAGGAATGAGGAAAGGTATGAGAAATTTGCATAGTATTAAACATCGTTCCTTCTAGCAAGATGCAATGTAGCTGTTTTATGGGTTTCGGCCAAGGTCCGGAGAGGCTACTGGTGCTCGTACTCCAGTATCTTCCCCCAGGGGTCTTTGCTTCGCTCAAAATTGGATTCTATGGTGCTCGAGCAAATGTGGCGGGGGTGGTATTCTAGTCGTATGGGGCAGATTAGGCCTTGGTCACTACCCGAGAGGGCATTCTGAGAGTTTTCCGCAAAAAATATAGGGTTGAAGTTGCTGTCTAAATGTGCACGCTCACCACAATGTAGAGAGCAATAAACATCATGGACCTTGATAGCAAATTTTCGGCCCCGAGACTATGATTCTATCAGGCATGCTGCCCGATTTCCTCTCTCTGCTACCAATAAAATTATCTTGTGTCATAGAGTCCTTCATATAGCTCCAACATAGCTCAATTTCCTTCATATCAGGCGAATTTGGTGCCCAAAAGGGAAAACGTCTAATTCCTTCTGGGAGTCGTTGTCATATGTGTGATGATCACTCTCACAGGATGCCGGCCGGGTACGGTACGCCACTGACACAGTATTTCGAGCAGCTCGAACACCATGCCTTTTATGGGTCCGCGGACGCTGTTCCGAAGGAGGTGCCAATTCCTCGCTCGGAGATACGAGTATCGCATGATTTCGAAGCAATCTCCTGCCAAAACTTGGCAATCCATATGTGTAGTGTAGCACATGGCCCGGTACTTGAGTTCTCAGATCGAAGTAGTTTCTCGAAAGCCCTCTAGCCCCTAGAATGTGTGCACAATTTTTAGACATTCTTGGAATTTAATAGAATAAAAATATGATGTTGAGCCGAATCTGGGGAACTCAAGAACTGCTCGTATCTCAACCTACATAATCTCAGCAGGCATCCTTCTCAGACAACTTAGCGGGCGCTAATATTAGTTGCACCGTATCCCAATACCAGGAATAGTAAGTAGGTGGGGGACTGAGGATTAGGGCTACTAATCCTTGAAACTGGTGTAAATTGCAACTATAACCGATCGCACTCGGCTAATTTCTGTTGCTCCACACAACCGGATGGGAATATTAGACGAACTTCCGCCGATGCCAAACCCACATTCCCTGTCGATTTGAAACCCATCCGGAACGAGCCCATCATAAGCTAGAGAACGAAGCCACTCCGAATTGCATCCCCTACACTTTCATCTACTCGCCGCGACACTGCTATGATCCTCAAGAGATAGAATCTTAAAATAACATCACCGCTATGTCACTACGAGTCCAGAGCCTCAACAGCGATACGACCTTCGCTCTCACATTCTCTCATCCGGCGCTGCGGAAGCCTTTCGTGCTCCTCTTGGACCCCTGGCTACACTCGAGCCCTTACGTATACCATCCTCTGTTCTCAAACCAGAGCCACACGACACAACCATGTATTTCATCCATTTCCGAGCTATCGCCGGTTCCAGATGCGATCATCGTTTCGCAGAAAAAAGCGGATCACTGCAACGAGGGGACCTTGAAGGAGCTTGACTGGAATGGCGCAGCGAAGGAAACCCTTCTCTACGCAGCGCCAGAGGCAGGGAGGATAGTTCTGGGGTGGAAGTGGTTTGACCAGAAGCGACTACGGCTACTCCGGTGGGGAGAGACAGTGAAGGTGGCGTTTCCGAGCGGGATGGGGAAGCCTACAGTCGAGGAACCGGCGGGCTGGTTGGAGCTATTGTTCATGGCGCCGAAGAGGCTATGGGAATTACCAGCGCTGCACAATGCAATAGGGATCAAGTGGGTTGTTCCCCGGGAACAGGGGCAAGGAAACCAAATATTTTCGATACTCTTTAGTCCGCACGGTGCGCCCATTGCATCTCTTCGACCTTGGCTATCCTCGCTGCCATCGCGACCTCAAACACCTAAAAACGAAGTATATATGCAAACGACAGCATTCCCGCCGCCGAGCCTTTCGCTACTAATACATCCTTTCTGCCGCATTTACTCCCTTCTCGGCGGAGAGGTTATCAGTGGGTTCCCCGGAGGCTTCTCGGTATGTCGGCATGTAACGGTGGACAATTGGATTAGCGCTCATGACGAAACCAAGGATGTGCGAGGAATTACGGCAGGATTGTTGAGATATCGGTTGTGGGACGTGAATAAGGTTGAGAAGGATTTAAAGGGAGAGGGGATACAAGGCGTTCGCGTTAACCTATTACACGCGGGAGATGAGGTTGGCTTTGACCTTTGTTAGCAAGGATTTTTTTTAATGTAATATATACCTAGAGTTTTTCTCTAAAGGCGGACTACCGGACTGATTTCATAATTCCCCTCCACCCACCATGACTAAACCCGCACTATTTCGGTTGACTCGAAATCTGCAACCATAATATGATATTCTTTTGCATTCTTTCTGAATTATTTTATCCTGAACGGATCCGTTCTTTGCCGAGTGGATGAGCACAGAAACCCTTTTATCATATATTTTTCCTCTTATTTCCGCCCTTCCAAAACACTGCTTGTCTTTTGTCTTTGCGTCCGAATTCGATCTAATGTTACACCGCTCCACAGCGAAATTTTCCCAGTCCGGCCGGATCTACCAACATCCGAGAGAAATTTCACAGGGCTCGGGCAAGCGGAAATTATGCATCACAAGGCTGACGACGTTTTTGTATGCCAGCAGATATCAGCTATTTGCGGTTGGGCCGTCCCTTCATAGATATCGGACCATCCTCACTGTTCCACCCAGGATCATTCATGAGAAATCACTCGATCCTAGGTTTTGAAATCTGTTGGATTCTTGAATATATATCGGCAAGAGGGGAATTTGGACAGCAGTCCCCTATCTGAGTTGTCCATATTTGGAGTCTCACGGACCTCTCTGCACTAGTCCACGAGCCCATCAGCGAAGCATCCCGAACTCTTCGATAGCCTGATTATGCTATCATATCCCAATACCCCATCAAGATCGACAACCGGTCACGCTCTAATGTGCGCACTATGAGTTAAGAAGGCAGAAGACATAGAGGTCCTTTCTTTAGGTTTTCCTCTGTCGTTGCGTATTTTGTCATGAAGTTGCCCATCAAAATGTGAGGTGCAGTAATAGAGTGATGAGTATGCACGTCGGAGGTAAAAAAAAGACTAAATTATTTCAGCTACTTTAGCAATCTAATGTGAACTGTCGAATAAAATAGGCTTCTTTGTATACCACAAACGCCCCCCGAGATTCCGTGTCCCCCCCCACAATGTTATCGCTTGGATATTGCTACTACTACACACAACTTAGCGAGTATGGAAGAGTGGTTTTGAGAGTATATCGGGCACCCGGACCAGCGGAGGTGCCCACCTGTCGCGGTTGGGCTGCCTATTTTAGTGGTTACTCGAGCCATGTTACTCGAGCTTTGGTGGACTGGTGTCATTTCCGGATTCTGGGTGGGTCAGGTCGAACCAGAGGGTATTCAAAGTTTAAAAAAAGCTAAGGGTTTATTCGGCACGTGCCAATAGAAATATATCACAGCATTCCTTGAAAAAACAGCATGTTTCCTAGTACACAAATGGGCTGGCTGGCTCCAAAACAGAAATTGATATGACAGTTAGATGGCAGGTACTCTCCTCCTCCACTTGTTCCACGCGAAGCAAAAACAGGAGGAGGCCTATACATCCATACCGTACACACTGAACAAGCCTTTAGCTACTTCTATTTTTTGTTCAACTTGTTATTATACATACTGTAGGATCTTTTTGTTTTACCCGTTGGGGAGTAAGTGGGCAAAAGGTCAATAACGGGGGCAGAATTCTGCTCAGCTGAACTCTATACCCCAGCTCAGAAACCATACATGAACCAAAAAGACGTTTTCACGATATCAAGAAAGCGTATTAAAATGGGATAGCACGTCTTAAAGGTCACTCACTGTTCATATTCTCTGCCAAAAATGTTCAGTTTTTGCTAGTGAGCAAGGATTTTTTTCTTCTTTCCTCTTTGATATCTCTAAGAACCACTTCTTTCGGCCTTTATAATTTTACCCTAAGTCCTCTCAGCGCACTCAAATTTGCTACCGTACGCCAAAAATGTGAGAACACTATGATATGATATTGGCTAGCACCACAAAGAAACCTGATGAAAAATCCCGCTTTCACTCGTTACTGAAAAAATTAATGACCTTTTTAACTTTGAGTACCCAGAAAAGATTACGGTGACCTTGACAATCCAGCGAATCTAAGAAGGTAGATAGCGGTCTTCGGGGGACGATAAATTCACCGAACCCTTTCAGCGGGTCTAAATGTAAGATACGGCCTACTGCAAAATTCACAGGGTAAAACTCAAACTTAGCCGCCCGTGTATCGAACCTTGTATTAGGTTCCTCCGTTTGACACAAAAACTTTGATAGCATGGGAAGGTATGTCGTTACAGTAGTTATGCGAGAGCCGGATGCCTAGTTCGAATAGCAAAAAAGGTAGAATATGGGTAAGGCTTATGCCTTGATACCGCTAGCAAGTCTGGTCAAATGAGGTTAACTTAATCTAAAGAGTTTGCATTTCGGAGACCCTTGCGGGTACGGTATGATATATGATCCTCAGCATACCCCCGGGAGTGATGCACCCCCCGACGCGATCTCACTAGCCGGAAATTATAACAATCGTGGGAGAAAGGGTTATATAATCAGGGTGATCTGAGCTTGTTCCATAATCTCTCAAGAAATCCTCTTACTCCCCCTTTTGTGCCAGTGCTCGTGTTATAGGTTGGGCATAGGAAGGTTGTATTTAATTCTAGATATTATAGAAATCTAGTGATTCGTTTAGGAGTACAATGGCTAGAACTTTGGTAATTTATGGAGAATATTCTCCAGATATGTATTTCCTTTGCTACCACGGAAGTGTGCAGAGGAATGGGTACATGAGCGGAGACACAGTGATAGGTATGGTGATCTATGGAAGAATCAGGATGCTTTTTATTATGTTTTATTTATAAATCTGTCCCAAGAGTTAGTCTAGTTGACGAGGAATCGTGGGAGACAGAGCGGATATTTAGCAGACATCCCCCACCGTACATAGTGCGCAAGTTCCAGGCAAATCCACTCCCTCAGCCGGACACCGATGCGCGACTAATCCCACTTTAGTCCACTTTAAGTGCCCGGGGTTGGGTTCGGCCGCAAGTTCCCGCTGCAGATTAGAGAGGATATCCAGGTTGACAATTCATGACCTCCCATAAGGTTGATACCCAGCGCCCCCTAAGATCTCTACCGGAAAACTCCCCACCAAAGCACCAAACATTGCTATTCCACTGTTTTTCAACCCACGGGGGTACTATGTCCCAGAATATTGATCAGATCCCAGCTAGTATTGGACCGGGGAAGCAAAAAATACGCTGCACCTCCCTCCCCCTCATGCCCATTGTGTCTTGCAAAACCCAGAGGAGCCTCCCGGACTTTTAGTGGAAACAATAAGCTTAAAGGGTAAACCCCTCAGGTAGATGGGTTATATCTATTCCTGGATCCTCGGTTTTAAAACTTTAGCTGCTGTGGTTAAGCTCCCAATGGGTCTCGGATATTGGGCGGGAATCCATAGATGGTACGGTGAACCACAACGGTCAGTCTCCGTCCCCTTCCGCTCCAAGCATCCTTAATATATATTACGCGACCGAAATACACTCGCGTTTTTCGCACCGTTTACAGAGTAGTCAATTTCGACTACATTGCACGTTGGGCAACTATTCAACTTTCTACGATACTCAGCCGAGCGAGTATTTAAGGCAGCATGCGAAAGCCAAAGATTCTAGCTTCCGGAATAGATACACATAGAGTTCGGATCGTGAAACATAAGCCATGCCATCCGGTCCCGTGCAGGGATCTTGGTTGCCCCCTCCGAGCTCTGTGGCCCCTCCAGACCACTGAAAGCATTGTCAATGTTTTTGCCAGCCCGGGATAGACAGGTCAAGCTTCGCTCAACGGTATTCTTAACCGTCAGGGGGTCAGCGGTGGACTGCAGACAACTCAGGACCCAAGGGCCGATCCCTAGCAAACAATCCATGGTCGTGGTAATCCTGATGTCTACCGTTGGTGAACGGCGAGCTCTAGAGGGTGAGTTAGTGGCGTCCACCGCTGGACTTCCGGTTGAGGAAGGGACAGCCGTGAAGACGGATAGTGAGGGGCGCTGGAGGGAGGCATAGTGATGTCTCACGAGCCGGTTCTGCATATACCTCCTGAGAACCCAATAAGTAGAACGGGTAAACTAGCACATAAAACCCCAAAGTTGATATTTTTAGTATGTATTCTGTTCAGTTATACTAGAGGTGTTACAAATTGAAAATATTCCATGCGAATTGGGTGGGAGACCGTTGCCATAAAAAGATTATTGCGCTGTGGATATTCTGGTATTGCCCTATTATCTATATTTTATATTAGTGCTTACTGGATGGAGTGGATATCACATAGATGGCAGCTTGGTATGCTCACAACTTTGTATATATAGAGGTAAATCTTCATTCTCCAAATGTTAAGCTTTTCTCAACTTCTCTGACCGTCATTACACTTGGGTGCTCCACTCCATATCCACGTCTTTGCCCATCGTCACCTCCATCACGGCCGAGTGATTCCCTTACCTCTATCATTTACCTGCCCTGCCCGGGACGCCCGGGACTACAAGCCTACCAGGGCCCTATGGGGCGCCTGGGCTGATTGGGATCACTGGCCTCAATGGAATGGAGGTTCTTCGGTTATGGCAAGAAGTCAGGTCCATTCTCTGCCGCTGGTGAATCTCGTGCCTGCGTTGCCGATGGCGGCGAACGCATTGGCGGTATTGTCACTAAAGGTGGTGGATTGGAGCAAGGTGGTAAGAGACAGATCTATTTTTGTCCCTTGGAAATTCGTTGCCGCCATCTACTAATTCGACCTAGGATTTTACCGTTTCGGACCCCCCCAGCTCGACCCCCTTTGTACTGTAGAAGACAAAACACCTTAGTGATCTAGTCAATTCTAGCGAAAAAAATACAGTTTTGTTCGAATCAAGCAAAATTTGGCGGTCGAACAAAATCCACACCGAAAAGCAAAATTGTTGGTGAGAGTGAAACAACACAATCTACCGTGAATTATTCCTTTGATTGTCTTGTGTCGTACTTTGTGAACTCGGAGAGTGAAATGATGCCGTATTAGGATGGCAAAATGATATCATACGTTGGCTTTAGGCCATGAGAGAAGTGTAGGAAATAGGATACTAGCTTATCATAATAGAAAAATTTAGCAATGTAGAGGGTAGTTTTTGTGGCTAGGTTGCCTGGAGTAGGATTACTTCGTGGCCTGCACCT